GTCAACCCTGAGCCGGTGAGATTTGAACCGCTGACCTGCTGATCTAGCAGTAGCCTGCAGTGCTGCATTTAACCACTGCGCCACCTCGGCTCTCATACAAATGGACACGCCCTTCCCTTCTTTTGATAATCAGGCAATCTAGTTTTCCAAAGAAAAAAATTCTCCTTTTCTACCGTGTTTCCCCAAAAATAAGACAGGGTCTTATTTTCTTTTGACGCCCCCACCCCAAAATAAGCGCTTGGCCTTATTTTCGGGGAGGTCTTACTATTTAGGAGGTGGGGAGCGTGGTCACCTTCATGGCTGCTGCTCTGTTGCAATATTTTCAGGGGAGGTCTTATTTTTGGGGGAACAGGATATCCTTTCTCTATAAACTCTAGTCCAAGACTGGGGAAACTTAATGCTTCTCTCGTAGATCCTAATTAACACAGATCCAGGTAATCGTTGACTTGAATTTCTGTCGCAAGTTGGCATGGTCATAAGTCGAGTCATCGCATGGCCGGACCCAAATTACCACGGTCAAAAGCAAGTTAACCCCATCTGTTAACGCAGATGTGACAGTTAAATAAATCCAGCTTCCTGGTGGGCTTTATTTTTTATTTTATTTTTGGCCAGCGTTCAGAGGGGAAAAAATTCACAGTAGCAGCCAGTTTCAAGCGTAAGCTGTTTGCCAAACACCCAAATCGCGCTCGCAGTGCAACGGTCATAAGCACGAGCACAAATCGTGAAGCGCTTTCCCTGAGGCCGCCGTAACTTTGAACCGACGTTAAGCAAAGAATCATAAGTCAAGGACTACCTGTAATGCTCGTGGACAGGTGATTGTCTAAAATCCCCTGAAAAACACCTGGGTTTACTTGCCATTGATCTAGTCCGTGATTCCTGCTAGGAACATTGAACAAAATGTTAAGTAGGAGAGACTTCCGTGGGTTAAATGTCACCTGGAACATTCCTCACAGCTTAAGGCATTCAGATGCGTTGCTGTATCTGTCGGTCTCCGTGTCTGTCTGTCGTCTACCCGTGCACCCATCTGTCCGTCTTGCCTGCCTCCTGGCCAAGAAAGTTTTATCAGGATGCTAAAACTATCGTTTGTTCCTTCAGCCAGCAAGCGCTCTGCATCAGCACTCAACCTCAAACAGCCCGAAACGCCCCTCCACAAGCGCCTCTCCTCATCCGCAGCGCTTCTCAATTCTCCCAGCGTAGGTAAGGAGCAGACTCCCAGGACCCACCACCCTTTCTTCAAAGGCACGGGATCTCCTCAAAAGTTACCCTTCGAATCACTCCTGCCCCTTTCTATGAAACCTCACACACACACACACTCACCCAATGGCTCATGGTGCCGCCTCAAATCTTTGAGCGAGCACAAGCTTTTCACGGGCTCAATGGGTTTGCCTCATCTAAACCTCGGAATTAATAGCAATAGCAGTTAGACTTATATACGGCTTCATAGGGCTTTCAGCCCTCTCTAAGCGGTTTACAGAGTCAGCATGTCGCCCCCACAGTCTGGGTCCTCATTTCACCCACCTCGGAAGGATGGAAGGCTGAGTCAACCCTGAGCCGGTGAGATTTGAACCGCTGACCTGCTGATCTAGCAGTAGCCTGCAGTGCTGCATTTAACCACTGCGCCACCTCGGCTCTCATACAAATGGACACGCCCTTCCCTTCTTTTGATAATCAGGCAATCTAGTTTTCCAAAGAAAAAAATTCTCCTTTTCTACCGTGTTTCCCCAAAAATAAGACAGGGTCTTATTTTCTTTTGACGCCCCCACCCCAAAATAAGCGCTTGGCCTTATTTTCGGGGAGGTCTTACTATTTAGGAGGTGGGGAGCGTGGTCACCTTCATGGCTGCTGCTCTGTTGCAATATTTTCAGGGGAGGTCTTATTTTTGGGGGAACAGGATATCCTTTCTCTATAAACTCTAGTCCAAGACTGGGGAAACTTAATGCTTCTCTCGTAGATCCTAATTAACACAGATCCAGGTAATCGTTGACTTGAATTTCTGTCGCAAGTTGGCATGGTCATAAGTCGAGTCATCGCATGGCCGGACCCAAATTACCACGGTCAAAAGCAAGTTAACCCCATCTGTTAACGCAGATGTGACAGTTAAATAAATCCAGCTTCCTGGTGGGCTTTATTTTTTATTTTATTTTTGGCCAGCGTTCAGAGGGGAAAAAATTCACAGTAGCAGCCAGTTTCAAGCGTAAGCTGTTTGCCAAACACCCAAATCGCGCTCGCAGTGCAACGGTCATAAGCACGAGCACAAATCGTGAAGCGCTTTCCCTGAGGCCGCCGTAACTTTGAACCGACGTTAAGCAAAGAATCATAAGTCAAGGACTACCTGTAATGCTCGTGGACAGGTGATTGTCTAAAATCCCCTGAAAAACACCTGGGTTTACTTGCCATTGATCTAGTCCGTGATTCCTGCTAGGAACATTGAACAAAATGTTAAGTAGGAGAGACTTCCGTGGGTTAAATGTCACCTGGAACATTCCTCACAGCTTAAGGCATTCAGATGCGTTGCTGTATCTGTCGGTCTCCGTGTCTGTCTGTCGTCTACCCGTGCACCCATCTGTCCGTCTTGCCTGCCTCCTGGCCAAGAAAGTTTTATCAGGATGCTAAAACTATCGTTTGTTCCTTCAGCCAGCAAGCGCTCTGCATCAGCACTCAACCTCAAACAGCCCGAAACGCCCCTCCACAAGCGCCTCTCCTCATCCGCAGCGCTTCTCAATTCTCCCAGCGTAGGTAAGGAGCAGACTCCCAGGACCCACCACCCTTTCTTCAAAGGCACGGGATCTCCTCAAAAGTTACCCTTCGAATCACTCCTGCCCCTTTCTATGAAACCTCACACACACACACACTCACCCAATGGCTCATGGTGCCGCCTCAAATCTTTGAGCGAGCACAAGCTTTTCACGGGCTCAATGGGTTTGCCTCATCTAAACCTCGGAATTAATAGCAATAGCAGTTAGACTTATATACGGCTTCATAGGGCTTTCAGCCTTCTCTTAAGCGGTTTACAGAGTCAGCATGTCGCCCCCACAGTCTGGGTCCTCATTTCACCCACCTCGGAAGGATGGAAGGCTGAGTCAACCTTGAGCCGGTGAGATTAGAACCGCTGAACTGCAGATAACAGTCAGCTGAAGTGGCCTGCAGTACTGCACCCTAACCACTGCGCCACCTCGGCTCTTATTAACTGCGATCCGGATTAATTAAACGGAATTCAGCTTCTGCATCTCTCTGGCGCCCAGCCCAGCTTAAAAATTGTTCAAAATTTTCCTTAGATCTCCATTTGGTTTCCTCTTAATTTATATTAATTTATTTTTAAATTAAGGCCTGGTTGTAATACGGTAGCCTGCATTTGGGCCTGGTGGTCTCCTCCCTCCAGCTATGGGGTCACCAGGACTCTGAATTTCCATTGAGCAGAGGGATTAACGTCTTTCTGTCTTAAAGAATCTCCTTCATTGATAACTGCCCAGGGGGTGGGTTCCGGCTGCCATTACTACCGGTTTGGCCGCCGAAAAATTTTGCCTGTGCGCGTTTGCACTTAAAACGATCTGCGCATGTGCACAACATTTTAAAAAAGGAATAAAAATGACATTATTTTCAATGAAGGTGGTTCCGTGCAAGTGCAGAATACAAAATCACGATGGTGCTCGCGAGGGTAGAACCGGTACAGTCACGTGTCCGCCGGAGTTACTACCCATTCAGCCAAACCGGACCGAATGGGTAGGAACCTCCCTCTGATACTGCCCGATGGATGCTTGCCAAGCTAACAATTCCATATATATATATATATATATATTTCCTTGCAGGCGCAGCTAAAAGGAGCTCTTCCCTAAACAGGCTGAATAACAAAGGATCTCTGAGTTCGGAGCAAGGACTACTCAACGCTTCGCAAGCAGAGCAGAAAGGTGCAGCAGACGAGAATTTTGAGAATCGTTTCATTTGTCTATCGGAGACAATTCATTTGTATTTTGGAGTATAAGGTGCACCTTTTTCCCCTCAAAAAAGAGGGTGGAAATCTGGGTGCCTCTTATACACCGAATACAGCATTTTTGGTCTACCAAAACCCCACCCCCTTCACCAAAATGGCCGTGCAGAGGTCTTGGGAGGCTTGCAAAGTGCTCCTGGGAGCTGGGGAGGGGAAAAAAGCACAAAGAAGGGGCCGTTTTTGGCCCCCAGGAGCAAGGTTCAAGGTTCATTTTATTTATATACCGCCCTATTCCCGGTGGGACTCAGGGCGGCGCACAAACCCAAAGGAGGGGAAGGGAAACTCAAGAACTACAACAAAAAGTACAGGGAATTTAAAACAACCAACAGCCACACGCTTCGAGAGGGGAAGGGAACTCATCGACCCCAGGCCTGCCGACACAGCCAGGTTTTAACGGCTTTTCGGAAGGCTTGGAGAGAGGTGAGGGTCCGAATCTCTGCAGGGAGTTCGTCCAAGCACTTTGTAAGCCTCCCAAACCCTCTCCACAGTCATTTTGGTGAAGGGGGTGGGGTTTTGGTACATTTTTGCAACAATACTCAATTTAAACAACTGCCCTACTTAGCAAAAAGAAATTTGGGGCTGTAATTTTGGTCATAAGGATTTCCTGTACTGTAAGACCGTTGATTTAAATTAGCCCTTATTCCCCCTTGATACCCTGTTTCCCCGAAATTAAGACCTCCCCGGATAATAAGCCCAATCGGGCGTTTGAGCGCATGCGCTAAAATAAGACCTCCCCCGAAAATAAGCCCTCCCCCCAAAAAAATGGCAACGCAGCAGCCACAAGGTGACCATGCTCGCTGCCTCCTGCACCTCAAAAATAATAAGACCTCCCCGAAAATAAGGCCAAGCACTTATTTTAGGGGGTCAAAAGACAATAAGAGCCTGTCTTATTTTCGGGAAAACATGGTATTTGAGGATAATTGATCCACAAAGTTAAATATTGGGCGTATTTCTTTCAAATTTATAGTTGGCGAGCCAAACAAATGTGGTGTTAGCTGGGATTGTTGCTGTCCTTCAGTCTGATAAACGATGTTTTTGATGATCTCCATAAATTGTGTATATCTTAAGTCATCCTGAGCGCAGCTTGAAAATAATCTTGTGTGTTTTTGGGTTCTAGGAGAACCAGAGAAAAAACGGAGTTCATCGTTGAGCAGAATGAGCAATAAACTTCCCGAAATAGAAAACATACAGAAAGAAGAAAAAGCAGGTAGCTAAGATTTGACTCGGTTAGCAATTTCAAAAAAATCGTTGCAAACTGCCCTTGTTATTCATGAATCTCACAAGAGTTGGGAGGGACCGTGTAGGTCATCTAGTCCAACCCCCCACCCCCCACCCCCAAGAAGGAGACCCTATACCATTTCTGACATGAGGGCAGTCCAGTCTCTTCTTGAAAGGTTCCAGGGATGAAGCTCCCCACAACTTCCGAAGGCAACTTCTGTTCCATCAGTTGATGGTTCTCACTGTCAGAAAATATCTCATTTCTAGGTTGAATCTCTCCTTGTTCAGTTTCTGTCCATTGTTCCTTGTCTGGCCTCTGGGTGCTTTTGAAAATAGGTTTCTTGTGTGAGTGACAGAGAGAGAGAGAGAGGAAGAGAGACAGAAAGGAAGAGAAAGCAAGTGGAAGAGAGATAGAGAAAGAGGTCGAGAGGGTGAAAAAGAGAGTGGAAGAGAGAGAGAGAGAAAGAGTGGAAGAGGGAAAGAAAGAGAGAGGGCGAGAAAGTGGAAGAGGAAAGAAAGAAAGAGAAAGAAAGAAAAAGAAAGAAAGAGAAAGAAAGCTTTTTTAGAAAGCCCCACACCTCAAATTGTACAGCTAGCCCAGATCAAACCCACTGATTCCCACTACCTGCCTGCATTGCTTCCTTCACAATTCTTGGGGGGGCAGCCTGCATGGACCCTCCCAACAATTGACCCCCTCCTGCCTATTGGACAATACTTGGCACTGCCTTTTAATTCTCTTTCCCCCCCCTTTTTTTAAAATTCCTTCTTAATAAAGACCTTGTGCCTCGTAGGCAGCTCTTGGCAAGGGTGCCGTTCTTTGCAGCATTTTAATTATACTTCTTTTGATCCCACCTTTATTCTTTCGATAAACAACTCAGGGGCAGCAAATGCATCCAGTACTCTTTCCTCCTCCTCTTTGCCCCACAACGACAACCTTGTGAGGTAGATTGGAGAGAGAGGGGGACCAGGTTAGTCTCTTGGTTTCGAGAAATCAGAAGTCTGGTTGTGCCTTTGTACCTGCGAGACCGCCTACTGCCACATTCCTCCCAACGGCCGGTAAGATCCCACAGGGTTGGCCTCCTTCAGATGCCGTCAGCCAGACAATGTCAGCTGGCGGCTCCCCGGAGGAGAGCCTTCTCTGTGGCTGCCCTGACCCTTTGGAATGAACTACCCCTAGAAATCCGGACCTCACCCACT